GTATGTGGGTATATTGTTTGTATTACTTTTTTGAACGTACTTGCAATTCTTGTGAATGCAATATCTCTTACTAATATAATAAATGCTGTATGTATTTTAATGTGAAGCACATGAGTTTACTTGTGATTAAATATGCTATACCTCCCCAGGCCTGACTAATGTGCAGATAATTACAAGGGTGTCTGCTGACCTATTTGACCCACTGTTAAGGAATGACAAGTGGCAAATGAAATTAACGTAAATGTACAGAAAATTAACAACAGTCAACCCAAGGAATCGCAAGAAGTAAAATCTGCTGGGTAATCTCTAAAATTGACCACATGCTTTTGTGGCTTGTCGTAGCTCTATGTTGGGTGTTGGTCTAGCTTCAGCGATACAAGATAGTGTATCTCTCCCTTCTCCACTAGTGCTTGTTTGAACCACAGGAACACAGATTCGTGACATGTAATTGGAACCATAGAAGTGTGCACAATATTAATGTATTCATTACTAGATGATGTATCCAAACATGGCAGCTTTTTCATTACAAAATGAAATATGCTGTCCATGACCAACATGTGTCCCAATTCCATACTGCACCCTAATTTTATACAGTATGTGCATTGTTCTTCGTTGAAGTTTTTATACTGTGAGCAGCACCTCCATTTTCATAGCACATTAAATTATGGGACACTCAAAAACCAAGTTTGAACACATTACATAGTTAACTTCAGCCTAAAATTAGAAGAAGGTGGACACAGCTCAAGTTCTCTCACTTCCTACTTTAATGCCCATAAGATGCTTTAGTGTCTGTGTTATGGCTGTCCCACATTAGTGACATACAAATAATTAATGACTAATAATATGGGGGATATGTTGGATTTAATGCTTCAAACGGTGGTGGTTCTAAAAGTCTTTATGAATGATATCATGATCAGAAAAGATGTGTTTGGCTAAAGTCTTTTCAGAACAGTACACCACTGTCCCTTGGGACTTAGTGCTCATAGTGTGAACCACACTTACTCAGAATCTCCCTTTCTGTGTTTCAGCCTAAACTGTGTATTACACTATGACACTGTGCAGCATGCTTGCTGACTCAGTGGTTGTAGAATGGAACTAGAGAGAAATTTGTTCCAGCTTTGACAACGGTCCTTTCATTTGTTCAGCATCAGTCAGCACCTGTCAGTCAGTCAGATTCATCTCCACTGTTCACTCTGCAACGACTAACGGCAGAACTTCACATTAATGCTCTCAAGGTTTTTATATAGATTTCATGGTATGATTGTTCACCAACTGCTTCTCTGATGTTTTTGTGTAGGCACTTGTGAAGGTGATGTTGTAAGAGCGATGGTGTGTGGTTTGCTTGGCCTGTTGTTTGCAGACACACCCTGACTTGCTTCCTCTATCTTCCCTTCGTGTGTGTGTGTGTGTGTGTGTGTGTGTGTGTTTGTGTGTGTGTGTTTACAAGGGTGAGTGGTTCAGAGAAGATCACGCTGTGTGCAGTGGGCCAATGCCAGCACTGTAAGCAATGTAACAATCCTCTTTCACATATTCAATATAATTTTTATCTTTTCTGTCTTACTCTTCTTCACACATGCGTCACTCTCCTCCACTTTCTCTTATCACCTATTGAGGTATGAATGGGTGCATGGCTGCAGAAACAGTACTACAGATAAACTGACACAATTTAGGGTACAATGGTGCAGGTTTTTTATTTTCAGTAGATTAAAAATTGCATGCTGCATGTACAATCATGTTCTAAATATTAAAAGTAGATGCCACTAATGTAGTGCAGTATTTTAAAACAGGGTGGAGTTCATGACTGTGGTTTCTCAAGTAAGAGGGTGTGTGTGTGTGTGTGTGTGTGTGTGTGTGTGTGTGTGTGTGTGTGTGTGCGCGCGCGCGCGCGCGCTCAGTTTACAGAAAGAGGAAAAAACTGATTGCCAGGCCTGCAGTTTTGCTCAGTGTGCTATGTGAAATGAACTGCTCACCCCAATCAGCCGAGTTATCTGGGAAATAGAACTAAATACGTATGTGTGTGTTGTATGACGACGGTTTGGCTGGTCTTGTGGTTTAACACCTATACAAGCAACATAGTGTACTCTTTAACGTTCCCACGATCCTCTGCCAGCCCCAGCTTCAGCTTTTTGTTCAGCATTTTTTATCATATACTGTATAATTTTTAAGCACTGAACTATATGTTCTTCAGGGATAGCATGTCTATTTCACTGTGTTCAATTATACAGACTTAACTCAAAGCCTCGTATCATAATCTTAAATGCAGTGTACAGAACAGAAAATGGGACAAATTAATTTCAAGTGAGGAAAAAAAACTATAGTTGGTGGACATTCAGTTAAGATTATTTGTCACACATCTTGGTCCCAGACTGAGGAATAAACATCCATGCTCAAACTTAATTGGCTGTTTATGGCTCTGCACCAAGGATAGCCTTGGCTAGGTTTTCTGTATGTCCATCCCACTATTGTGAACACGATATCTCAAGAACACCTTGAGGTAATTTTTTCAAGTTTGGCATAAATGTTCACTTAGACTCAGTGATGAATTGATTAGATTTTGATAGTCAAAGGTCAAGGTCACTGTGACCTTGCACCTGTCTCATTCTCATTAACACAATATCTCAAGAAGACCTTGAGGGAGTTTCCCCAAATTTGGTGCGACTTTGACTCAAGAATGAACTGATTAGAAGTAGGTGGTCAACAGTTAAGGTCACTGTGACCTCACAAAACATGTTTTTGGGTGCAACTAAAGAATTCATATGCTAATTTTGAGAAAATCACCCATAAAAGGTCAGAGGTCAGCTTCACTGTGACATCATAGTGTTCTTTAAAAACACTGTTCTGGCCAAGGTTTTAGAAAAAATTGTTGCAGAACAGGTAATTTAATTTATAACCGGAAATGGCCTATTTGAAAAATTCCAGTCTGGCTTTAGAGCGGGCCATAGCACAGAGACTGCGCTCCTCAAAGTGCTCAATGATCTTCTTTTAGCAGCTGAATCTGGCCATTCATCTATTTTAATCCTTTTAGATCTCACTGCAGCTTTTGATACTGTGGATCACCTGATTTTATTGGAACGTCTCAAGAAGGCAAGAAGGCATCTCTGGCACTGTTTTAGTCTGGTTTTACTCATATCTCCAAAATAGGACTTTTAATGTTGCTATTGGTGACTGCAGATCTTCCACAGCATCTTTGTCTTGTGGAGTACCTCAAAGGTCAGTCCTTGGCCCGTTGCTCTTCTCACTCTACATGTTACCACTAGGACACATAATCCGCAGACACAATATTAGTTTCCATTTTTATGCAGATGACACACAGCTTTATTTCTCTTTCGACCCTACCATCAACCAGCAACTAAACACTCTCCAGGTATGCCTAAATGAAGTACAAATCTGGCTGTCTAATAATTTCCTTTAATTGAACCCAGACAAATCCAAAGTCATTATCATACTAACTCTACTCCTGACTAAGTAAACATAATCTTTCCAGACTTCAGCTTATTCAAAATTCTGCCGCCAGACTCCTCACAAATTCAAACAAAACAGTACACATAACCCCGATTTTAGCTTCATTACACTGGCTACCTGTGCGTTTTAGAATTGATTTTAAGATTTTAATGATCACTTTTAAGGCCCGGATGGGACTGGCCCCTGAGTACATCAAAGACTGCTTAGTCCCATATGAGCCAAGGCGTAGCCTGAGATCCTCCAGTGGGTCCCTATTAGAGATTCCAAGATCTAGATTGAAAACCAAGGGCGACTAGTCATGGAGACATACAACTGCGAAGCGGTAATTCTAGTTTACATTTCACATATGGGGTTGGGGTTTTTACGTCTTGAAACAGTTCATTGATTGACAGGACATCTGCAGTTACTTTGATGAACAATTAATTGTTACATTAATATTAAAACATTGTGTACACTTTGGGTAATGGGAAATCATGATAGTCATTTATCACTATTTTTTTGATATTTATAGACCAAACCATGTATCAATTAATCCAGAAAATTATCAACATATAGTAAAATGAATTGCAGCCCTAGTTTTATATGCATAATTCCTAACTTGGACAATTTATGTGGAAGTAAAATATAGCATAGCTAAATCCATGAGGACTATTACCATGGACATCAGTGTGTGTGGTCTATGAACATGAACATCAGTCTGTTTGTCTCATTGGTAAATTGGTGAACCAACAGTTGGTAATGTGGGCAGAAACCCAACCAAGTGTTTTAGCAGGAAACCGTTGAGAATGGTTCCGTGGGTTATGGGGTTTGGTTTTGGTCCTCTAGCTGTTGTGTTTTGCTGTGTGTTTTTCCTCATACTAGCAGAGGATGTAGCACTGCATGTGATAACTTACAGAAAGATTTGTGCTGGGACTCGATATGAATTGCTTTGGTGTGTCGTGTGTGGGAGTGAAACTTGTGTGGCTTTCAAAAGCTGGTAGCTATCTTTGAGGTGACAGCAGAGGTGAAGCAGGGTGTGGGCAGAACTATGAGATCTAGAAAATTTCATGTTTGTGTGTTTTTAATCCAGAACATATAAAATCAGATGCTGTGTTATCAACACAGAGGTTAGAATTACTCATGCTGGCTGCGGTGATGAGTCATGATATCTGTCAGCCATCAGAGAACATATGCACTTAACATCCTCCTCTTGAGATACGTTACACCTGAAGTCTGATATGTCTGGGTTTTTTTTGTTTGTTTGTTTTTTTTCTTTGCTACTCTCAGCATGTCTTCCTCACCACAAAGCAAGTTATTTCTGTGCTATCCCAGAGGCACTTTGTGTGTCTTTATTCCCTTTACTGATCTTTTTAAAGAATGCCTTTGCATTTCAGTTTTAGCTTTATTTCAGATTTCCAGTCATTTGTCTCACCAGTGCTGTTAGCAGGTTGTTCATGCCTGTTTTAATCAGGAAGCATTGTTGGAATTGTGGAAAAATACAGAATCTTGTGTTGCCTTTTCCTTGTGATGATGTTTACCTCTGTCTTTTATGTCTTTAGGTAAGAGTACACCAGTGAGCATGTCTGGCACAGCTGACCCTTCCAAACCATGTGACCCCTTCCAGCCATTTGGCAGTGATGACATCGACCCATTTCAGAGTAAAAAGGGCCTTGGTGACCCGTTCAGTGGCAAAGACCCTTTCGCCCCATCATCGGCATCAAGTAAAGCCCCTAAAGACTCTACCTTGGGTTTTGCAGACTTCAGTTCTGTAAGTTGAGATGGGTGATACTGTTTAACTGTCAGTGTCTAGACCAGGCTACATAGCTATTCACAGACACCAGCACAGTCACTAGGTTTTAGTGACTATAGAGTGCTACAAGGTCACTCCTAAAGACTGATGAGTGCTGAAAGTGCTGATTAGGCATAGGGTGTAGCAGAGGACTTTAAGCATAGTTAATGTGTTGTACCAAAGTGTTATGGATTTGCGCAATTCTTAATGTGTGTCTTAAACAAGGTATGGTTCCGGGTATGGTTACAGTATGTTTTGGGGCTTGAATTTGATTACTGATTTTACACCAGTGACTCCCTGTACAGTATATTCATTTATATGTCGCGGCCCACCACAATTAAAACATCTGCCACCACGTTTTGATTTTCTACTTTCAGAGCTGAACCATTCATTAGGCGTGCTGGTGGAATATATAAACCATTGCATAACACTCTTACAGTGCAGAGTGTACTCTAGGCACAGACAGAGCAGCAGAACACCAGGCAGAAATCGTGCATTATGCTGGGTGTAAAAGTTTGCTTTCACTTACAAACAGCTGCTCCTTTCATCCATTGTTGCAATCTGATCAGCTCTGAGCTAATCGACTTATGAATTATCCACCCTGTGACTCAAACTCAACAGACTGCTGATAAGGAAAGATTAACCCATGAAGAGTTCTGCCTGTACTGTGTTCATGGACCTGCAAAGACCTCTGAATTTAGAGAGGGGGAACAGACTGAAGGACGTACAGGCAAGAAAGAAAAAAAAACTAAAGTCAGCTACTGCCACCCATAGATTCTAATTCTGTGTGAAACACTGAATGACCTTATTTTCAACTGGAATGAACATATGATCTGTATCTGCTAGATTTTCTAGATCAGTAAACAAAAGTTGAACATCCTGAATTTGCAAATTGAGATTGAAACACAATGTGGGCTGAACAAATAAGATAAGGAGAACCTGTTTTTATGTCATTTGTGAATACACACCATGATTAGAGATGTTTATCCAGATAAGGGCTGCAACTGATAATTGTTGTCATTATTGACTAAACTTCTAAATCTTCTCTTTTTCTGAGACAACAGCAAGAAAATATTAATTTTTGCCAACTTCAGCACCAAATAATGCAAAATACATTTCTATCAAAACAATTAATTGACTAATTGTTTCAGCTTCTACATAATGTATCCATATAGGTTACATGTTTATACCAGATAATTACCAAGATGATGGTAGAAATAGTAAGTCAATGTAAAATCGTTACTAGCTCTTGTACAGACAACATGTAAAAATATTTACACTGAGGCAGCATGGGTTATGCCTTTGTCCAGTTAGGTCTAGGAAATAACCTAATATTACTGAATATGGAGTGTTTAAGAAATCATATTGTAGGAATAGGATTACATGTTTTCATTTTTACAGAATCCTGTAAAATTCTCACGAACAAACTGTGGTTATAAACCAAGAAAACAACTTAATCATGTTTTTTTCTCTACAAGGGTCTAGTGTGTTGTTACACAACAGTGAAACTAGATCATTGGTCTAAATTATTTTAAGTATTTATGCCATATATTTCAATTTCAGCAAAACATTATTTTAATACAGTTCAAATTGTGATACTGATTTTAACCATCCAGTACAACCCAATGTCCAATGCAGTAAGCTATGTTCGATTCCTAAGATAACACCAGAAATTATTATTTCATTCTGTCATGGTAAAGTTAAAAACAATACTAGAGCACTCGGAGAGCGCAGACCTCCGCCAAGCAGCTCGGATTTCCCGCCATTTTATTATTTTATCCACTTCATTTCAACCAATCACCACCAAAATTTCATCAAAAACCGTTCAGAACTTTTCGAGTTACTTTGCAGACAAACTGACAAACAGACCAACGCCAGCGAAAACATAACCTCCTTGGCGGAGGTAATAATAATTGAATACAGTAAGCTTACCAAACTTAGTTTACTGGCCTTCAGTATAAAGACAGAGGGAGTTAAGACGTAAGGACAGCACACAACAAAGGCAGTCTTTGCTTTACATTCTCATTGGCAGCTCAGTGTTTCATCTTCGTGTTAACAAGTTTCTCAGTTTATAAATAAAACATACACACACACACACACACACACACACACACACACACACACACACACACTTCACATTTTAAAATCTCCAGCACAGCTCTGACATTCTTGCAACAACACAAGTCATGTAGAGAATGAAAGAAATAATTCAACCCTTTAGGAGACAGATATCAATCTGGTGTCTTTGTGTTTAGTACAGAGCTGGAGTCAGGCAATGGTTAACCTAGCTGAGTTTACATATTGAAAGCAGTGGGAAACAGCTAGCCTGTCTCTCTCTGAAGTTCAAAAATATGTAACCAACAGCTATAAGAGGCCGTACACATGCTGCGTTTTTTGCACCATCGAATTCTTTGTTTTCAGTGTAGACACATGGCAGGCACATTCAAAGGCGTTCCCGAGCGGCCGTTTTTCAGGGAGTAACAGCTGTGCCCTGAGATGAACAGAGTTCAGCTTTTTGGACGCAGTAGCAGGCACTGCATGTCATGTGACCAAGAACAACCAATCACAGCTGGCAGATATCTTTACCCTCTTCCATAATTATCAATCTTTGATAAATATAAAGAAAAAGTGGATCATTTTAGTGCAGGGATACCCAGAGCTTGACATCTGTCCTATTGACAGTATTTTCGGCAACAACACCTGGAAGAAGATCAGCTTTGCACTCAGGATTTCTGGTAAATAGGCTATGATCCGGTGCTGGTTATTTTCGCTTAGCAACCTCAGACGCAACCTGCCTCCACAGTCTTGAAGTTGACACAGAGTAGACACAAGAGTGGCGCCCAGCACCTGATCCAGCATTTTCCAGGCGGTTGAAAGTGGTGTTCATTTGCGAAGATTGTCTTGCTGAACAAAACGTTTATGATTCACATATTTTTTGTTAGCCACAGAGGTTATTTTTGGGAATAATCCAATATCCAATAGAAAAATCCCATAGGCCTTTTGACAAGGGAACCAGTGCTTCCGTGTCAGGCTACAGAAAAATGTCATTACTGGAGCACTTTATAACAAGGATTTTGTCAAAGTTACATAGGCTACAGAACCTTTAAAACTGTAAGTAGTAAAGCTGTAATTTTGTCTTTTGGCAAGAAGAATGTAAGTTTGTTAGGGACTTTCACAAAGGCTGAGAAATGATATCAGTAATGTGTTGGCATAATGGTGGCAGTCTTGACTAGTAGAATCTCTAAGAGTACTCAAATGGAAACAAACAGAAACCTTTTGTCCCCCATAAGCAAGTAACCACAGAAACTCAAAATACTGTGCATTTCAGATTTCAGTCAAGCAGATGCACTTTATTGGTAAATGATCACTGTTTTCTAAGCTTATGTCTGACTGGTGTTAGTCAGTTCAACTATTCGTCAGATTTATCCATCTAACACGAGACACAACAGTATCACCACTCAACTGTCAGCTCTTGAGTCTGTCTGCCCTGCATGGCCTTGCTGTTTATGCTCACTATTTGTTGCTGATAGTTGATTAATGCTTTAACTCTGCTATCTGTTGTTGTTGTTGTGCATGTTCTATTATGTTAGTGTAATTTTGCATTTTCTCAGCACTCTTCAGCATTATTCTGCAGCCCTCTATTTCACCCTCACTTTTTCATGGTACCTCAGATACGAACTGACTGCTTTAATAATTATAAATCAAATTATTATTTATGAACCAAAGCAGTAAAACAGTAAAATATTTAGCATTACCAGCATAAGGATATTGAAGCTTTTACCAATAATAAATACTACGTTTATTAAATCATACACATACTTCTCTCCAACTGTTTGACCAAAGCTGCTGCATTTCAGCTTTATCTACAAAAACAAACAAATACAGTTACTTTAAACTCATGGCCTTTAACAGTCTGATTTTACTTAATTGTGATATCTTTTTGTAACAATTGCCTTCAGTAGAAATAATGGGGGACAAAATCCAAGAAAGTTTTGAAAAATATAGACCTGTCTTTTAAAATGTTTTGATTTATCTTGCTAAAATTTGACAAAATGATAATGGATTTTAGCTTATGTAGCATGTAAAATTTGCTTTTGGCTTTATTCTTGTTTTTCTTTAATAATATTTGGATTGTCCTACACTTTGTGAGTCCTACTTGACCCACCTTTGCAAGCATAGTTATTTTTGTCCTTGGTGTTAAACTGTCCCAGTTTGACAGCTGATTTTATCAACTGTACAAATTTATGTTCTTACATCACTGCTGGTACTTCTCCACGGTCCAACAACAATCCCACTAGTTACATATATTTAAATACCTTTGATGAAACAGCAGTTTCATCTAGGTTACAGTCAGATGGTATGAGCACAATCAGTTGTCATGACATAAAGTAGGAAAACGAGGCCCTGGTTGAAAACAGGACTTATTCTTGAACGGGCAGATTTCCTAGGATTCCTCATTTGTCCATTTGCTAGTGCTGCACGATTTGATAAAAATGTGCAATTGCGATTTGAGTGGACAATATCGCGATTTGCAATTGCGATTACAATATAATAAAAAAAAATGGTATCATTAGTCTTCTTGCTTGATTCAGTGTTTCACCTAAATTATATTAGGGGGGCAATGACCTATCACGACATAGTTATTGTTATGGACAGTGTGTTAATGACCATCAACAGACTGAGCACAGTCAAACACGCTGCTCGCACAGCAGCACAGCACAGTACTGTACACACAGCTGAGCGAGCCTGTGTTGCGTTCAGGCGTTGTCACGTAAATGACAAATTCCAGCACGCCATAGCACAACACAGCAGCATGTCAAGTTGGCTGAGCCCGAGCAAAATTGTTCAGTTTTTCATTTGTTATTATAAAGTTTGTTATGGAGTGCATGATTTCCCCGTGACACTTACAAATGTTTGCGTAACTGTGCCTGGATGTTGTTTTATGAGGCTCTGGCGGTTTTCAGTTGTCCGTTTGTCTTTAATGTTACTTGGCTTGGCTTTCTCTCGCATGCATTCTTCCTACTTTTCTCTGTGCTGTCTCAAGTGCTGATATAGATTGGTTGTGTTGCAACGTGGCAACTTTAACTTTTAAAGTTTTACACAGCACGTCTTTCTGTTCAGCGTCACCATACCTGAATCCAAAGTATTGCCATGTAATAGACGTTGTGTTTTTTTCGCCACCAACTCAGCCTGTTCATGGTCGTGCTCATGCTCTTCTTCAGTGTCTGTGTAGGTCACTGCTGCACGCCGGGTGGTCACCTGACCATACGTGCTGCACATAGTAGAATAGCTTGTGGGTATAATGTCAACAAACTCCACACACTACAGGAGAGGTAGTCACGTTCACAGGCACACACGTTAACATTTATTTACATTAAATCGCAAATCGCAGCCTTTTATGCGGTTATGTAATCACCCAGCCTGACATCGTGATTGCAATTGCGATTAGATTAATCGTGCAGCACTAGCATAAACTTTTCATTCATACTGCAGTTTGATTGTCTATATCATATTGGCAGATTTTCTTTTTCATCCTTGTGCCCTGCACAGGCCTCCTTTATGTCTGCACCCACCTTATAGAAAACTTTAATTATTCTTAAGTTGAGCAGTTAATAATGGAAGAACAGAAGAGAAGATAAAGAAATTAAACCGCTCTAAAGCTGCCTATGCCCCTCCTGTCAAACCAGCTAGATACTGCCATTAAGTCTTCAACCACGCTGTAAGTGCTTCAGTGCTAAGCATGTGTGGATGCTTCCATGGTGCTCTGGATGGAGGAAGGCTGCAGCAAAAGCTGGTCTGACCGCGTTGGTGTCCATCCGTAGGATTGGATAGGCATGAATCATCTTTAGCAGCAACTTCCCAGTTGTCCCTGAAGAGAACCCCAGTTGCAGGGCACGAGTCAGACAGCCCGTCTCCTTCCATCCTTCACTCACAAGCTTAATGTGGCCTCACAGAGGGCGTTAAATCTGCCAACAGTTCAGTTTGTCAGGCATATGCAGCATTTCTGATTTGTGTTCTGGTGTGTTCTGGTTTTGTGACAGTGTTGATCAGCCTGTCTGCTTTTTATCATATTTTACTGCAATAAAAATGAAGTCAGATGAACAGACTGAAAACTTTCTCTTATGAGGTAAAACTGATGTTGACAAAGTTTTCTTGTGCAGAAATAGTTTGCAATTGGAAATAAGGCAATAAATAGAAAGATACTGCAATATATTTTATCGCAGTACTCAGCATATGGCAGTATCGCAATGATATCATTCCTCTGGTGATTCCCACCCTTACTCTCTTCCCAGTTCTCCCACGTAAAACGCAAGGAATACAAGGGAGGAAGGTCATTTAACCTATCTTCAGATGGTGGTCAATAACAATTAGACTCCATCTATGGTTAAAGCGTATGGTGATAGTGAGTGACGTATACACACTGTCAGCTTCAACGTCCGGTCTCTTTATTAGAAAGGATGGAAACACAGCAACTTTATAGCCAAATCCCTTATTTACACCTCAAGTCTTTTCGGTCAAGAATTATTTCTCTCGAGGAGTTCTTCCCTCCACCACAGCAACCCTGCCCTTAGCGCACTTTGTGTCAGGCCTCACTGGCTTCACCTACATCAGCTGAAGAAAAGCTTGCCTAAATTGGGAGAACTATGATCACACAGTTGTTACATAAGGTGCGGACGTAAGGATGACCCATGCAGGGCACAAGGGTGTGAAAGAAAGAATCTTCACGGCTGTGTGTGCACACTAAGATAAACCCAATGCATTTGCCCATCTTTTTCTCCCACCCTCTGGATGTCATATCTTCTGTTGTTAAGTAGTTCTGTTAGCTGTTCTCTCCTTTAGCTCCAAGCGTTGTTTGTTACTATGTGAGGGGGTTCACTGGCAGTTGTTTCACCATAGTCCATTTGTCTTATCTGTGGCACTTATTGGCAACTACTTCAACTTCAGTAGCTTAGTATGTTAAGAATTCATGTTTTACGTAAGTTAACCATGACTAGCCTGTAGATTGAAGCTAGCAGAATTACTTGTTTTCAAATAAAAATGCTAACAAACAGCTAAACACAAACAGCAAAGAAAGTGTTACAAAGAGGACTGAACAGAAACTCTGCAGGTATCCCTTTACAGTGTCTGTGTGCTGTGGTGTAATGTCTTATAAACTAGCCTAGTTCAGGGGTTTCTGGATTATAACTTTTCTGTTCTGTAATCCACCTCTCTAACAGGGCCTGACAAAGTCAAGGTAAGAGATTGAACACACAATGAAATTCCCATAACATTACATTTTGGCGGTTTAATCAAAATAATGTTAAATAATGAACATAAAGGCAGTGCATTATAGATAAATCTCACATCATGTGTTGCTGAAAAAGGTAATGACATTAACTTTGTGGACTGTGAAAATGTGTAATACTCATGACGAAGTGAGTTGAGAGTTGTTTTTAAAAAGTGTAAGCAAAAAGCACAGTTTCTAACATAACTGAGGGACACATGTTGCATTTGGATTACAGGATTTCTCACTTCCCTACTTTTTCAGTTGAAAATTTTAGTCGGGTGAAAAGTTATTACTTTTTACCAATACTCATTTTAAATGACACTTTGAAAAACTCAAATGTTTTTGAGCTATTTTGAGTCTTAGAAAAAACATTTTCAATTTCATCAGGTTCCTTTTTTCCTGTTTATCCTTGTTGACACTGATCAGAATTAAAGAGGATATCTTGAAATAATTGACACATGAAGATATAACATATTGATGATCTGAAATAAAATTTTAAATCTTTATTGACATGGGGAGTCCCATGTCTGTCCCTACTGTACTCTCTGCCTAGCCCCTTTCAGACATGCACCTCATTATATCAGTGCTCTGGCTTGTTCCAGATGGGATGTATAAAATTACTATATTGTGAACATTGAGTATAAATTGTCACGTCATTTTTTTAAGCCACCAGCATGATACTCCATTCCACATTTCAGTTCTCTCACATTTCAGTTCTCTCACTCTCTCCTATGGCTCTCTCAAAAAGAAGGAAACATAATACATCACACTCACTCTTCCACCCATCCAGATCAGTTTCTCTTGAGTGATAGTGTGTGATCAGGCCAGACATGTTTATGATCTGCAGGGCTCCAAAGTGCTATTTACTTGCATTTTGTGACTATGGAGCACCAATTCAACTTGCAAATATGTTTAATATTTGAATTGGAGAGCTGTTAGTTTGTTTTTAGTTTACAGCAAATAAATCATCACATTTAACAGCTCTGCAGTAATAGTTTAACTTAATGAGTTTAACAATAGTGTATGCAGACAAATTGTGTATTTTTGTGTCTGTGGGGCTCCAGACCATGACTATTTAGTTACATTTTGCAACATGGAGCACCAGTGCGACTTGCTATATTAATAACATATGGAGCGCTGTTAGTGTTCAGCTCACATTGAATAAATCCTTATATGTAAGGGGCAGCATGAACAGCAGAAACATCAACACATCCTGAGAGGAGCTGAGGGCTTCAAAATAAAAGCACCAGAGGTTCTGCTTTGATTTATTTAGTTTATTATAACAGTATTTTATTAAACTTTTTTATAGCAATATTTTATTTATCTTAATTATAATAGTAATTATTTAACTTTATTATGACAGTACATTTTTTAGCTTTATTATAACAGTATTTTAATTAGACTTAATATGACAGTATTTTATTTTATTTCATTATAACAGTATTTTACCTAACCTTATTATAACAGTACTTTATTTAATGTTATTATAACAGTACTTTATTTTACTTTATTGTAACAGTATTATATTTAACTTTCTTATGAGTACTTTATTTTACTTTATTATGACAGTAGCTATTTTATTTAGCTTAACAGTGACCATAGTTAATTTAATCGTTTTGTATTTTAATAGTTTACAGTAGTTTGCAGGCAATTTCCAATATTAAGATGTATACTGTGAAAGGCGATAAGCCTAAAAAGTATTTTGATATTATTTTTAAGCCATATGGCCCAGCCCTAGTTTTTGTTAAAAGACATTAATTTCACTATATATTTATTACTATTACTGAATCATGGTGGTGGTGTTGTACTGGATCTCTGTAGTTATATTGAAATGTGTTTCTCACACTCTTTCCTCCACATGTTTGTAAATAACGTAATGCAGTCTAGTTCAACACCACTGCAAAACTGCAATCAAAATAATAATCAACACACACATTTATGTAACAGAGACATATGTGCACAGAATAAGAGACATTAGTGTTACAGATTTTCTCTCTCTCTCTCTCTCTCTCTCTCTCTCTCTCTCTCTGTCTCTGTCTCTGTCGTTGCAGTTTGGGAATGAGGCCCAGCAGTTGGAGTGGGCGAAGCGAGAGAGTGAGCGAGCAGAACGCGAGCGGCTGAAGAGGCTCAGACAGCAGGAGCAGGAAGACCTGGAGCTGGCCATTGCCCTCAGCAAGGCCGAGATGTCCAACGCATGACCTGGAACCTGTAACACACACAGATACACAGACAGCGCGTAGACAGGCTAACATGCAGACAAACATGACTGACATCTAAACATTCAGACACAAAGCACATCACTGGACTATCTCTCAAGCATTCATACAAACTCCAGTCCACACACACACAGGACCTGGACTTCCATTATTTACATTCCCCCACACTCTATGACTTAAAGAATGGAATGGAAAGGACTTTGCGGCAAACCTGGCTGCTGACCCTGCATTTAGAAAACAAGCCAACAAAACTGAGGGCCGAGAACTCATCACTGCAAAACTCTCCTACTGACATGAAGAGATGTAGAACTGTAGAACTGAAGAATGAAGAAGGAGAGGAGGAGGAAGAGCCAAGAGGGGCCTGATGGAAAGAAATAGAAGCACTCTGTATATGCACTATAGTGGCTGGACAGGACTGAGCATACTCACTGACTGTTGTTGATATGGAACACCTCAACAGCTTGAATTTCAACTTGTTTTTCTTCTTCTTCACTCACAATGTGGGGAAATGGTTGTTGCTATCAGTAGCAACAAGCAGCTGTGAAGAAAAATAATACTACAATTCAAACTAATTTTTTCCTGGTATATAGGGATGACATGAATATGTCATTGAGCTACTGATGGTATAACTGTCTGTAAGTATCAAGTGTTGAGTTGTTTTGCTGGTAAGATAGGATGAGGCTTTAAATAAATATTTGTTTATTGAGAGGCATATAGAGAAGACTAGATCTGACACTCCTCAGGATTGAGAATTTTTAGTTCACAATTTTCTCTCATTCCTCAATTTTTTTTTTGCTCAGGAAATTCTGTCATTTCCCCAAACTCAGTTAAGAAATGAGTATGTTGATAGTTGATTATTTATTTCACTTCTGCTGGAAGATAAATGTTTCCTACTGCTTGGAGATGACTAAACTCTGTATTTGATGTACAGAACTGAAATTAATTTTGATCTTTCATCTTACTCTGGTTAAATTGAAGTGTATTTTCAGTTTGATTTCATACTACTCCAGGGTGTATGATAAGATTAGAGACTTCCACCCTTAAGTCCAGACAAGGCTGAATTATCAACCAGGCAAAGCAGGCAATTCCTCAGGGGGCCCAATGGCTCCAGGTTCACTGTTACCCCTTTTCCACCAACATGGAACCAGTTTCATTCCTATTCCCGCACCTAATTTTGAACCTTTCAGAGCATTTCAGCCAAAAACAAATTGCCTGAAAAGTTGGTTTTCAGCTTAAATAAAAAAAATAGCAGGTTTTGCTTGAGCTGAAGTGCGAACCATAATGACATCAGTGGGCGTGTCTTACACTACAGGTTGGAAAGAGAGGATGGAGAATGCAACAATGAAGAAGTCAAGTGAGAAATTGTAAAAGAGCATGTAGTGGTCTCATTAATGGTTGGTCAGTGCTTGTTTTGGAGTAAAAACATTCTTGTGAATGCAGTCCTTTACGAACACCATGAAGGAATTTCTTCAAATTTGGCACAAATGTCCACTTGGACTCATCAATGAACTGATTAGATTTTGGTGGTCAAAGGTCACCGTGACCTTGCATCCATCTCACGATAACATGATATCTTAAGAACACCTTGAAAGTGGAAAATGCATGACCCTACTTCCACCATACATGCGTTTTTAGATTTTTAAAACTTAACTGTTGATGTTTCAAAGTTAAAAGTTGAGGACAAAATCCTGGAGTTGAAAAAAGCCCTGTTTTTTTTTTACCTTTTTTTGTTTGTTTTTGTTTTGCACTCTTGTTGTGCGTGCTGGTTAGCTCATGCAGACAGTTCAGTTTTGGCCAAATTTTTAATGAGATGTAATATTAAGGGATTTTGATTAAATATCACCATTTTAAGGTCAGATTTGGTGATGATGTGTCCAAGGAAGGCAAAAACTTGAGAATCCAGCATTAATTTCTGATTTTACAGTTTCTGGCGATGATACATGGTATAGTTGGTGAACTTTAAAGAAAACATGCATTTCTTAAAAAATCGGCAGTAAAAAAAACTAAACAAAAAAAAAACCCCAACAACCATATAAACATGTATGCCCCTCCCCCAAGCCAAAATAAAAGACATAGGTCCCAACTCTATGTTGAAAAAATTATTTGACATGCCTCCCCCTTTTTGCACCAGACCCTTCCCCTCAAAAATCAAGAACAGTCCCGAACAGAAGAGAAGTTAGCAGGTGATCAATATAATCCGCAATTTTGCGACAATCATTTACTTCAGCCCTCTGCTGATGACACATCTTTGATTACAATAGTTCTGCTTAAAACTGGTGGAAATGTAGACTGTTTCATTAGAAAGGGCCACGGGTCCAGGAATTATGAACGGAACCAGTTCAAGAACCAGAGCTAATTTGGTGGAAAAGGGGTATGTGTGATACTTAGTTTGTGATCATTTATTTATTCGCAGATTTGTTAAGGAATATGCTATGCATCACTGAAGCACACATCATAAATGGATATGATAAGGGTGTCAAGGCACTTCTTCCAATTTTTACCCATTGATGGTCATGTGCTGTAGAGGGGCCCAGGTTAAAATTGGTACTTCCTTGATGTAGTTGCCCATGTCTTTAAAACTTATTATTATTTATTTAACACAGGCTTTCTCTTATAAATGGAAAGTCTCTGAGCCCAAGCTGAGACAACACCAGTGATGTCACTATGATGTAACAGGGTTATTTCCAACAGAGTTGATAAAGCTCCTCCAGCTCTTGCTTTTTGCCCTGAGGAATCAGTTATTCTTGCCCCTAGTCAGTGCATGTATTTTTCTCTTTCAGGTTTGAGATCAGCCAGGAGAGACACTCTCCTTCTCTGGCTCACTGGCTCCTCCCACTTCATCCAGATCATTACACTGTTTCCCTCTAATGTGACAAATACCTGACGAATGGAAATAACAGCTTCAAATGCCAACATATCCTTTGAGAGACGGCAACAAATTGTATAGATCTATTTTCTTTGTCTATGAGATTGTACTGTGGAGATTCGCTGTGATGACCTGCAGTACTCTCTCTCCCTCTGTCCAGTGTATATAGATAACAGAGCTAACTATGTGTCGTCTTGACAGCTGTACTCTGATCCCGATGCTGTGATGTCAAACCACATCCAACAAATGAAAGACAAGATGAGGGAATTATTTTTTCTATATTTGACCGTGTTTTCTTAGTAGAGAATGAGGATTTAACACAATTTTCATTAGCTGGTTATTATTTTATTATTTTTGACATGTTTTTGTTTTAAAAGAACATCCAAGTTAATCCAGTGCTGTTTTGTGCTATAATTTGTAGTTGAATTAGAGTCAGTGCCCTACAGACCAGCAGGCACAAGCTGCAGAGTGTTTGGAAAGGTTTTAAACCCGCTGAAATCAGGTGTCATTAGGCTGGAAATTGGAAATATTAGAAGAAGTGCTATTTCTGATGTGTCATAGTTTGATGTTCAGCATGGACTTAACCACTCACCTTGTTTTCTTCTGAGTTGTCCCCTTTACTTGAAGTGGTTACTGATGTTTTGGTGAAGCAGACTGGAGTTTTATCATTTATCTGGACTTATTTTCTGAAGACTTTCTGTTTCACTTAGGGCCCCGCTGTTCTAAGTTCAAATATCATGTTGTGTTTTATATATGCAAGTCTGTATTAAGTGTGTGTTCATGACCAGTCATATGCTTCAGTCAGTGTTTTGCCATGTGCATGCCCAGCAGTTGTATTCTGCTTAGAGCACATGTTCTCCTAAATGTCACTTTAGGGGTTGACATGTGGAGTTTCAGATTTTTACCATAACTTTTTAATCACGGGGAGAAAGAAGTCTTACACCTGGTTTAGTCAAAGAATAGCTTTTTGACATTGTTAGCGTTTATTATTGAGACCAATTGTAACCACTAGCAGAGCTTTGCTCTCTGATCTATCATACGTTGTAATACAGCCCTGGATGTCTTCTGATGGAACTCGAACATTTCAGTCAGCTTGACGGTTTTCAGTTAAGGCTCAGACACTCCAAACTGACATCAAAGAACTAGCTGTGACAAAAGCTGATTGTTGCGTCATCTCATGTCGTCGTGCTAGCCAGTTAGCACATTAACAATCCAATCCGATGTTGAAAGAACAGAGCATATCCACCGTGCACCAGTGACCAGTAACACAAATCATTCGGAAACATTTCTGCTAGAGCTCAATGGATGAAGAAAAATAATCTGACCTCATGCACTAAGTTTCTTGTGATCACACTTGACTTTAACTTGACTTTAACACTGACTTTCCTCAATCTGTTTCTTCTCTCATGTGCTGGGCTGAACTGCCAATCAGAGTGATTTCATTCATCACTCCGTTGGCTGCACAGTGGGTTGAACATGCAGAATTGGCTGGAAAAAAAGCTGACAAGGGTCAATGAGGGCCAATAGTTCAGGACACACTGCAAAGACTAGGGCGACAGATGCTCACCACTGGCCCTACATTAACTGACGGCTGGCTTTGGCTTGGTGTGTCAGGATCATTAAGAGGAGTGTTAGAATTTTGAAAACATAAACTGACCTTAACAACTTCTAAGGTGATAAAGAAACAAAAACATTGGTGCTTCTTAAAGTCAAGGATGCTTCCTTGAGAGGATGGGTCCTTCCAAGTCAGGTCTTACAGATGCTAGGTAAGATTCCCTCCTAGCATTTGGTGAACACACATTGGAATGGGCAAGCAAGCGCCTAGGTTTGCTTCATTGAAGAGGGCACCACCTTCAATTCTGGCAATTTGTGCGCAAAGGATTGTGGGTATTTCATGCCCGCTGAGGATACACGCATCCTTGAAAATCCTCTGAATGAAGGACTCGGTTCACGGTATAATTCAAAGGATCTTTTACATCACACATACAGTCACAGCAACAATTGATGACATGGCTTCCTTGAAATTCAGCAGTTCAAGGATCCTTCCTTGACTTTGAGAAGCAAGACATGATTTTGTAAAACCAAAGCTGGCTCAGGATTTTTCTTCATTCAACTAAAGGAGTCAGCTCAACAGAAGTTTGCACAGTGCTGCCACTGGTAGCCAAATATACAACAGTTGTTGTCAGTATTGTATCTTCAATATAGCTTCCCGCCTTCAATGGCAGCCCTGAGCACACAGCTGCTGACGAGATTCCAGACTTATCTGTAGGATTTCATAATACAGGATGATGCCTCATGATTTGATATTACACTGTTTGTATTTTTGTTTGTATTGACCTAACCTCTTTCTGTTGCAGTTTTTTATCTTAGACCTGCTTAATTAGCCTAGTTGTATTTTGCCTTAAATGTTGCTATATCGATTGCCCAATTTCAGGGGAGTTTATACCCTAACATTCTTCCCACATGGATTTTATGAATTCCTAATTTACAGAAATGTATAGATTCTGTCAGACACCCATCCAGGACTGTGATGCATAGTGTGATTGTCCTCAAGACCAGGGGCCTGTATTAGGAAGCAGGATTAATGTCTTAGCGAGGTAACTTCAGGGTAAACCCTGGGTTTTCGGTCTCACGAAGCCGGTTCAGTTCTTATTGGGGTAGATCACCATGGTAACTTACTCTGAACGGCTATCCTGCTCCGGAGCAGGGTAAGTTCAGGGTTGAATCTGATCCTATTAAAAGCACCACCCACTGGCCAATCAGCTGTTCGGAAAAAAATGACTCCGCTGGCAGAAATGCAGCCCAGTCATGACAGGAAGTTTAATTAATTTGATTGATTTTGATTTGAAAGTTTATTTTGAACATTAAAAAAGAAAAGAAAGCAACAATAACAGACAATGAAACGATTGTTCAAAAAGGAGTGGAAAGAAGTCGAAATTTCATCCCACCCCTTCGTAAGAAAGAAACTTATCATTTACAGACAGTTAATAGCACCATTAATTAGTGCCAACATTTTTTTTGTTGGAGGAAATGATCGCTATTAAAGATAATGGGCCTAATTGACAGCTGGAAATGT